TTGACTGAATGATTCAAACCAAACGAGTTTTCTAATTCTTCTATTAGTTTTTTCATCTCATCTCTTGCGGTTTTGAAAGACTCGTCTGTCTTTGATGCAATGTAGCATAACCTACTTGACGTTGAACGTAGAGCAGCGAACCTTGCCATTTGCATCACTTCTGGAGACACATTCAAATCAACATAGCTGGGTGCAGAAGCCTTCGCATCATTAGTCCACCTACTTTGAATCAAAGTCCCGGGCAAATATGTGTAGTCCAATTGCTTCAAAATGTGAAGTTGATGGCGACACGGAAGTCCAACGGTCTCGAATTTTTTGCAGGAGCAAATTAGAGTTTTCGTACGAGAATCAAAACTAATTTCAAATTTCCTATTTTTTTCTGCGTACTTTGACAAAATATAATGTTGACATTCATCTGATAAGGACTTAATCTCTGCCTCAATCCGGTACAATGTCTCCGTATAAGTTCATCTTGGAACACACGAAAAGATTCGCGGGTAAAAATCGCAGCGGCATGGCTTTCAAGGTCGACCAGTTTTGTGATCTGGAAGGGCTTCGTATGGGAACTTAAGTAATCCGCTTTCAACTCGTTCATACGCATTCTACTAATTCCATCTTCAATTGCACGAACAACATCTAAATATGTCTTCTTGTGTTTCAGTGCAATAGCTAGTGAAGCATTCATAGACTCGCACCTTTGTGTTGAGCGAATATTGGCAAAGAAATGACCGGTTAGATATGCTTGTGCCCATAAGTGTCGTGTATTTCCCTTCTCAATCACCCATGGATGCTTTTGGACGTTGAATTCTGAAACAATCGAACGCCATTGAATATCAAATTCCTTGGTTGTCCACCAGGAAGCCATGCATTTTGAGAATGCTGCTGTAAACTTTGGGTCACCAATGTTAGCTTGTGCATTGCGAGAAAGATGCCAAGAACATAATCTGTGCTTAGCATAAGGGATAACAGATTTGATAGCCCTCTGCATTGCCCTATCCCCATCGGTTACAACAGAAATAGGTGATTTATCATCATGGCTTCTAAAAAATTCTGTAGCACCCACTCGAAAGATTGAGACGTTTCGTCAGCGATTATGGCAGTGGCAAACACAATTGTGTTATGGTGATGATTGACACCAACAATAGGCATAATTGGTCGACCATACAAATTATCTTTGTACGTTGTGTCGAACGCAATTACATCACCGAAGCATGTGTAATCCGATCTCGATGTAGAATCCGACCAAATAAGATTATACAATGCCCCCGATTCGTCTACCGAGTATGTCATAAAAAACCCGGGATCATCATGTTTCTTATAATCAAAGTAGGCAATAAGCGCATTCACATCCCCATCGACGATTTCCTTTGCTTTACCTCTTTGAAGTGCATTGTAGAGGTCTTTATGTGTAAATCCAACATTATGATAGCCCCCTGCCTGCTGCGTTAAATAGTTCATTACTTGTGACGTGCCAACACCGACCTCTTTCAATGTTGTTGCCTCATCGATATCAGCCTTACTTACAGCTCGATTAGAACGCATAAATGGTGTCATAGCAGATGTGCACAATGCATGATTATGTTTTTGATCAGACTTACTTATAACCCACTGATCGTTTGTATTTGTTGCTGTAACTACGACTCTAGCCTTACATCCTGTTCTTGTGACTGGCGTATGAGCACGTTGACGATCAACAGTATTGACTTTTGATACTCGAAACCCTTCTTTGGAACAACAAAATTCTTGTGTCTTCACATTCCCTTCCACGTCAAGCCGTGTTGTTCCCTTACGTGCACTAAACCCATGTTCCCGTGCGAATCCCTTGTAAAAGTGCCAAGCTTGATCACGTGAACAGAAGAGCTGACCAACCAATCTGTCAGATTCATCAACATTATGTACTTCATGGCATTCCTCGGTTGGTTTAACATTGTCTACATCAGTATTATCCATGGCAAAAATTTTGTTGTGCAAGTTCAGTGCTCCAGGAGTTGATGGATATGTAAACGAAGGTTCATTTTGAACATGTTTCTGTCGTGCTGCTTTCAATAGGATGTGGCATTGGTAGTGGTAGTTAAAGGGTGGGTACAACATTAAATTCGCAGTACATATTTAGGTATGTACAATAACTACAAGTATATTATCATTTTAAATTCGCAGTACACTGTTAAAAAAATTGAAACATAAATTACATAAGTTTTAAAAAAAGTATCGATCCTTTTTATAAAAAGTATGTACACTTTCAATATAATAGGTAAACATATGATGTAATAGGTAGCCCTTATATAATGTAATAGGTATCGTTTATATAATGTAATAGGTAGTGGTTATATTGTAAAGTGTCTATCCTTTTTATAAAAGTGTCCATACTTTTTTCACTGTGGAAAACATTAATTTAAGGTTATCTTTTGAGTGAGTTTTAAGATATTAATTTAGTAATTATAGGCGTCTAATGATTTATTTTTTACGTTACGGTATATATTATTATTAAATTAAAAATTCTAAATAATATTTTATAAAATATAAAAACAATCAAATAATTTTTTGTGCAAATGAAATTATTAAATCAATATTGTAGGTGGAAAACATGAAACACTGTTAAAAAAATTGAAACATAAATTACATAAGTTTTAAAAAAAGTATCGATCCTTTTTATAAAAAGTATGGACACTTTCAATATAATAGGTAAACATATGATGTAATAGGTAGCCCTTATATAATGTAATAGGTATCGTTTATATAATGTAATAGGTAGTGGTTATATTGTAAAGTGTCTATCCTTTTTATAAAAGTGTCCATACTTTTTTCACTGTGGAAAACATTAATTTAAGGTTATCTTTTGAGTGAGTTTTAAGATATTAATTAGTAATTATAGGCGTATAATGATTTATTTTTTACGTTACGATATATATTATTAAATTAAAAATTCTAAATATTATTTTATAAAATATCAAAACAATCAAATAATTTTTTGTGCAAATGAAATTATTAAATCAAATAATTCAAATTGAAAATTAAACAACAAATCAATTAAACATTGTTGTGGGTACATTAATTGAACATTGTTATGGGTACATTATTTGGATTAATTTCGTTGAGATGGGTTATGTATAACAAAACAATCTATCTCGCATGTGAGTACTTTATTCCAACCATGTGACAAGTGTGACAACTCCATCAACTCACAACTCAGCTTTGAACTCAATCAATATTGTCTTTTAGCTTGATGGCTCATAAAGCATGTTACTTGAACAGTATGAATCAATTATGCAATTTTCATGTTCAATTTAACACTGCATTTCAAATTCATTTCATATGTAATTGGAGTTTGAATTTAAATTTCAATTTGAGTTTGAATTTCAATATATATTTCGGCTCCACTATAAATATTAGCCCAAGCCAATATGCATGTTATCATTGATTATTCCTAATTTCCATTGTTTTTTTTTCCAACGTATAAACGCGAGGGAAATCCCGACCATTTTATTTTTTGGTCAACTTTAAAGCGTCAGAAACGTTTCGGGCGTATGATCTGGGTGGTATACAAGAAATGTAACAAATAGCAACTAAAATCATAAGTTGAGTACCACCCAAATCATAAGTCTGAAATACTTCCGATGCTCATCAAAATCCAAAGCTCATATGGTGCCAAGCAAAAGGAAATCAAAATCCAAATCTCATATGATGCCAAGCAAAAGGAAATCAAAATCCAAATCTCATATGATGCCAAGCAAAAGGAAATCAAAATCTACAACTTGAGTTTGAACATTGATATGATATGTTCAGTTGTTATCATGTTGGGATTTTCTCGTTTTTGATTGCTTGGATAGTTGTTCTCTTGCTTCTTCAAGTGTTCTTAAGGTTATCCTTTGAGTGAGTTTTAAGATATTAATTTAGTAATTATAGGCGTCTAATGATTTATTTCTTACGTTACGATATATATATTATTAAATTAAAAATTCTAAATATTATTTTATAAAATATAAAAACAATCAAATAATTTTTTGTGCAAATTAAATTATTAAATTAATATTGTAGGTGAAAAACATGAAACACTGTTAAAAAAATTGAAACATAAATTACATAAGTTTTAAAAAAAGTATCGATCTTTTTTATAAAAAGTATGGACACTTTCAATATAATAGGTAAACATATGATGTAATAGGTAGCCCTATAATGTAATAGGTATCGTTTATATAATGTAATAGGTAGTGGTTATATTGTAAAGTGTCTATCCTTTTTATAAAAGTGTCCATACTTTTTTCACTGTGGAAAACATTAATTTAAGGTTATCTTTTGAGTGAGTTTTAAGATATTAATTTAGTAATTATAGGCGTCTAATGATTTATTTTTTACGTTACGATATATATTATTATTAAATTAAAAATTCTAAATATTATTTTATAAAATATCAAAACAATCAAATAATTTTTTGTGCAAATGAAATTATTAAATTAATATTGTAGGTGAAAAACATGAAACACTGTTAAAGTATCGATCCTTTTTATAAAAAGTATGGACACTTTCAATATAATATAATGTAATAGGTAAATTTACAATGCTATCGGTATAAATATACCGGTTTACTTATAAAATAGGTAAATATAAGCGCTACCTATTACATTATATAAGCGCTACCTAGTATGTTATTGTACTTTATAATATTTCCGGTTAAATAATATAACATAACCGGTCTAAATTTTAACCGATCACTTGTTTAACCGGTCACGCTGTATATTAACCGTTTTTTAGGCGCCGCACCGCAGAACACCCACATGTGTCTTATTTTACATGACGGATCTTAAAACCTTGACCTGATTTTAAATCCGTACTAGTCTCCATTAATTTCAAACGGCTAAACGTGACTCGCTTCATCACCACAGGGTCCCATCCCTTTACCAAATTTTCAATAAAAGTCCCTCAACTTTCTAAAATTTAAAATCACCCCAATTGAAATAACTACCATTTCTAAATTTCAAATTTCAATGTTTTGATCCTTTTTCTCCCAAACAAAAAAAATTCCGAGAGAGAGGGGGAGATGACAATGGATAGAGAAAAGGAGAGAGAGATAGAGCTTGAAAGCGCAATGTATACGAATTGCTTGCTTTTAGGTTTGGATCCGTCGATTATCTATCTCGGAGCCTCCAACGGAATCCCTCGGGTCGGACGTTTCCGCCATTCCAACCCTAAACTAGGCGAACAGCTTCTTTACTTCATCCTCTCTTCTCTTCGTGGCCCCGCTCAATCTGCCAGAGTAACGATCTTCTCTTCTTCGGTTTTGGTTTTGATCTGGTCCGTGTTTGTTTTGAATTGAGTTTTTTGCTCTTGGATCTTTCAGGATTTCGATCGAGTTTGGCCCATTTTTGACTCAGCGCAATCTCGTGATTTTCGAAAGGTTGATTTCTCGATTTGTTCGTTTTCATTTTCGCTATTGAATTTTGAGTTTCACTGTTTCGTTTGATTTTTTTTATTAATTTAGGTTGTGCAAGGGATAATTACCGAGCTGGAAGCACAAGGAGCTCTGCCGAGGAGTAATTCGAGGGTTTCTTCGCTGGCTACTTGTTGTGGACCGAGGTTAGTAGTTAATTTCTGTTTGGTTGCCCGAGAAAATTTAAGAAAGTCGAGCAAAATGGGAAAGTATATTGATTGGTTTGCTTCTGTCAGTTCTAGTTGCATTTGGCTTCATTATAGCGGATATTTTACTATTGTTTCTGAATAGCATTGCAAGATTCAAAAAGCTTGAATTGTTTTATTTGCGAGTAGGTTTTCTTTGTAAATGAATTTTGTTAGTCCATCTTCACATTAGGCTCTCTTATGTTTTTGATTTTGTAGATTTGTTGAACTTTTGTGGCAACTTTCATTGCATGCATTGCGAGAGGTTCATAGAAGGAATTTCGCCACAGATGTTACTTCTAACCCATTGCCTGCACCATTGACCGATGTTGCATTTTCACATGCTGCTTCACTACTTCCTGTAACAAAGGTAATGCATCTCTATAGACTCTCTGTAATGAAGTAAAATTACAGTTCCTAATATTAGGTCCTTTTTTCTTTGGAGCTTCTGTGTTATAGTTTCAACATGTAGTTCCAAAAGGCCCTTTTTATTAGACTTTCCATGGCCATGAAGTAACATGCTTGTTTCTGAACAGGCTAGGATCGCTCTTGAACGAAGGAGATTTTTGAAAAATGCAGAAACAGCAGTGCAGAGACAGGCAATGTGGTCAAATTTGGCTCATGAAATGACTGCAGAATTTCGTGGTCTTTGCGCTGAGGAGGTAAATAGATAGCTAATTACTTACTCTTTTTGAGTTTTTATGTCAAATGATGAATATAACCTTTCTGCCCCTGTCCTTTTGTTAAGGGATGACTTTGACTTAATATCTTTAACTAATGTCTTTCCTTTGGAAAACCTGGATCTTAGGCTTATTTGCAGCAAGAGCTGGAAAAACTACATGACTTAAGGAACAAAGTGAAGTTGGAAGGAGAGCTATGGGATGATCTTGTCTCTACTTCAAGTCAGAATTCTCATTTGGTTTCAAAAGCTACTCGCTTATGGGAGTCTATATTATCTCGTAAAAGTAAATGCCCATGCATAAATTGCGCTCATCTGTATCTTCATTAACTTGTATGATGTTCATAACCTTGATTTCAACCCATATGTCCAGGCCAGCATGAAGTTCTTGCATCAGGCCCTATTGAGGATTTGATAGCTCATAGGGAGCATAGGTAATTTGCTCTTGCATGTCATTTTGGATGATGCATATGGCACATTTTTTCACACCTTCTCATATATATCATTTTCCAGGTATCGCATCTCCGGGTCATCTTTGCTTTTAGCTATGGATCAGAGTTCACAAGTTCTTCCTTCTGATATCTTATCTGTTCAGTCTGATTCGGATGACAAAGAACACAATGATGGATATCACACACAGCTCAATGAAGAGACACTTTCTCGGGTAGATGATAGAAGTGGGAGAATCCACCAGACTGTTGATGTAGCAGAAGTTATAAGGCGTTGGACACATGCACTACAACGCATTCATAAACAGTCACTTCAGCTGGTATGCTGTTTTATTTTGTTTTTGTTAAGTCAGCTAGCTTAGTTAGTTTTAATACTTGGTCATCAGAATTACACCGAATTTGTGAATACCATTATGTCTACGACACATAATTATTAATCTGATATCATCTAAATTTTTGGTATTGTCAATTTTATTTACCCAGGGCATATTTTTAAACATCAAATTTGAAATTGTGGTAAAGCAATTTACGCCCGTATTTTTTGTCTTCTATGGGCAAAACCTATGTTATACAAAACCTTTCATTTGAATTTTTTCCATCTTTTGGAGATGTGAACTAGAAATCTTTTATGGTATATCAGAAACGTGCAATTTTCAGTTTGCACCTTCTGAAATATTCAAAAATTTAGAAATTCAATATATGATTCACCTTTTTTAATGGAATTATGGATTTTATGTTGCTAATTATCAGTGTTGAAGTCAGGTGCTTGTTTGCAATAATAGTAATGCTATTGCTTTGCAGACAAAAGCTAATGACGGAGAGGGTCCTGATATTTTACAAAGCGCACATGATGGTGGCACAAGTGGTCATGCCGAGTCATTAGCTGCTACTCTGGCTGAGCATCAGCAACACCTTGCTAGCTTTCAGGTAAAGAAATAGCCATTACACTTTAAGTAGTTATTTCTCGAGGATCTAGAACTGAAAATATCTGGAAATGTTGTTAGTTCATGGAAGTTTTAGTTTAAGTAATTTGGAGATTGAGAATTGATTGAATCTTTTTTTCCTTAAAACTTTTGATCGAGTTGGCGTCATGAGCCAAGAAGCTAGTTAGCTGTTTAAATAAAATAAGTGTAAAAATATAGTGGGAATATATTATTGTTTGCTTCTTTTTCTTTGCTTTATATTTGCATGTTTGTGGGTTAGCAAGTATGCTTAGACACGCGCCTCTTCTAAACCGCTAGTTGCTGTTATAGTTTCTAAGTTAAATCTAAAGGGTTTTTCTTGGCACTTCATTGTCGACTCAAGATGCTATTCTTAGTTTTAGATGGCACGTGCAAATTTCTATTCCAAATTTCTAATACCGTTTAAATGCAGGTGCTTATTAACCAACTAAAGGAAGTTGCTCCATCAATCGAGAAGTCGATATCAGAGTGTACGGAGAAAGTAAATAGCATTTCCTCCAACTTGCCTCCAATGACCAAACATCGCGGTCAAGCCTCCTCACCTAATCAAGCTCAGAGCAGTGGAAGGACCTTGGTAAATTATGTCTAATCAATGTTTCATGTCATACAAACATTTGAAACTTTGAATATTTTTGTTTGTAGAACCTATGATTCATTTTAAAGATGTTTTCGTGTATCACGTAGGAAAGTAGCTCTGATGATGTCGGTGACGTTACTTCGAAAATGTCTGCTGTTCAGCTTGAGAAGATTTCAGCTAGCCCTCCAGCTTTAAAGCTCCCGCAATTATTTAGTTTAACTCCAAATTCGTCTGGAAAAGGTGGAACCGTGCAAAAGCGAGCTCCCTTGACCCCAAATTCGGCTGGAAAAGGTGGAAACATGCAAAGGCGACATACATTCGCTCCTGAGACCAACCAAATCGGAACTTTTTCTGAAAGGAATTCAGAGGAACAGCCTCCAGTAAGCAATCAAGTAGATTACCCGCCCCAAGGTTTGCTTCTTTTCATGCGCCGCTTGTCTCCCTACATGTTATCGATTTAATGCTTCTTCTTTTATCAATTGAACGAGAGTCGGTAATTTAACACATTTTTTGTTGCAGAAAGTGACGGTTCTTATATTCAGAACTTAAAAAAATCTGTGAGGCAAGCTGCACTGTTAATGCCATCCTCCAATTCGGAGTCATTACGTGACGTTGAATCTAATGAAACTTCCGAACACTTCTTTGTACCCGTTTCATCAACTAATTTTTCTCGTGGGGAACCAGAAAATAAAGTTGGCCCTATAAGGAGTAAGAGATTATTTTCTACTCAAACAGACCACACCTTGCTCGACGCCCATGCCGGTAATGGCCATATCGGGAGTAATAACTACGGTGACTTGCCGCAAATGTTGAACAATATAGATTCTCTTAATGACTACGATCAAGGCAATGGATTTCTCTCCGCTGGTGCATCAAGTTCTGCAGCTTCTGATGGCCAATCGTTTTTCGACATGGAAGAAGCTCAGGATCAGGTCTTTTCCCCTCTGCTTATGGAAACGTCCCTGTTCGCCGGTGCGTACGAGGATTTGCTCGGTATGTTTGTTTTAATTGCAAAGTAATACCATTATAAACTATAATGCACTTTGAAATTTTAGCAAGTCGTGTTCGTTTCATGCAGCTCCGCTTTCAGAAACCGAAACCGCCTTGATGGAGCATTGAGACCGGAGGTCGGATGTTTTCGGTTTTCGGTCGTCGTTTCCGTTGCTTTGTTAATCGACACGATGGTTGTATGTAGCTTGAGAGAGAGACAGATCCACTGAAGTATTGAATCTTGTTATTAATTTGTAAACCAACTGAAGTTATAATTTTGCCTGCATTGCAAGCATTTCCCATATATTTAATAAGAATTGATTATTGTTCTTTGTTCAACGAGTGTTTTGAACTCGTTTTTTTTCTCTTTTGAGTTGAACGTTAATCTACTAATTGAAATATGATAAAATTTGGTTTCAGAATTGTTTTGGGTTGTATTTTGTGGATCGAATTTTTTTACATTATGTGGTGAAGTCGGTGTTTGAAACATTATGTCATCGAGCCAGTGCTTGAAAGCAATAGTAGTGTTAATAGACATTATTAATATATGATTTTATCATATCTCAATCAACAAGTTCATATTCAGTTCAGACAATTGTCGATTTTTTAATAGAAAAAGACGAGTTTGGAACATACGAAAAATTTTAATAGTAGATGGACTCAATAAAGTAGTTTCATATATTTGGAGGATCATTTTATAATTTTTAATAGTTGGGAGACATAACAAAATAACACCCTATAATTGGGGACTATTTGCGTACTTTACCCTTTTTAATTCCACATAAATTCAAAACTCGCAATTCTTCATTGAAGTATTCCGATAAAGTCGGAAACAAGGTTGGCAAACTCCTACTTCTACGACATGGCGTTGTGCTTGCTTGCATGGAAACTCTTTCTTCCCGAGGAATAATACTTCAGCCTCAACCACCCAGCCGGGAATTCACTCATCCCGGGCAGGTCTCTGAAGCGCATGCCCCCGACACTGACGATCGTAGTAGAACATGATTGGATGAGAGACCGGGCTGTTGCATACTCGGAGGCGCTTCGTAGTGTAAACGTCGACGCACCCCTGTTTTCGAATACAAGGATGCGGTTCATGAATTTGCAACCCTCGACGTGCTTCTAAAGACTCCTCAGGCAGAGGCCTGTGCCGAGGACATTGCCATCCGGATATTCATATCTCATTTGTTCATATGAAGGTAATCTCTAACCATATCCTGTTGTATTCAATTGTAAGATATAGAACCTTGATGCGCAGTAGATTAGTGGATCCGTGAATTAAAATGTACCATTCCTCGTGAACAAATTCGCGAGGTCGATCGAATATCAACATCGGCCTCCATTAACGGCTCTAGATGCCATAGCTCTAAAATTTTCTCTAGCTAAAGAAAGAGGGATCCTCTCTTGCTGATGATCATGGCCACTGCTTCCCCTGAAAGCCTCCATGAATTCTTCTCTTTGTAACCTCAAAGCTAATGCCGCGTCTTCGTCTTGGCCCGGCGTCCCTCTTCTTCTCCTCCCGGTGCTTACTAACCATGAAAGATCGTTCTCTCGTTGCTGCCTTACAGGGGTTCCTCTTCTCGTAGTGTTCGTATTCGTGTTTACTAGCCGTGCAAGATCCTCCCTCTGAGGGCTAGAAGCCATTGCAGGATCTTGAACTCGAGCTCGAGTTTGTGTCCTCCGCGTGCTGCTACGAGTTCGACTCTCCTGACTTCGACACTCGACTTCCTCGCTGCTGTTTAAGGCACCGGCAGCCTTCCTTGCTTCAACCTCTTTGGGAAACAAAAGCTGAATCGTATTCCAAAGAACTGTGTTCACAGTACAAGACCTTCCATTGCTGCAAGTAAAAGGTAAAATTATTAATCTATCTTCCATTGACGGGGGAGGCTTAGAGCTCAGTTTTTACCTCATGAGCTGCCGGCATTTCGGGCATCTTCTCCCGCATTTATCCGCAGCCGATCTCAAACATTTCTTACAGAAACTACAATCAAAAGAGAAAAGGGTTTCACTAAAATTACAAAATCAATCAAAACATGGAGTGTTTTTAATTACCTATGTCCACAAGGAGTAGTGCTTGGTTCAAAGCAGATATCCAAACAGATCTATGAAGCCAATCAAAGAACTTAATTATTACAAGAAGATGAAACGAAAGCTAAATCTAATCAAAGCTAAACAAATGCAGAGGAAATCTGAAGAATCTTACCGCAAATGAAAGCTCTTCTCTGAGTTTATCAATACAATGAAGAGGAGATGGTTCGTTTACTTTTGTTTTCTTCTCACTCTCTGGGAAACATTATTATTCAACAAAAATCAGATTTAATTCTTTTTTTTTTTTGACTTTATAAATGAACAGGAAAAAAGGGTCACCTTGTTTTGAAATCTCTTCTTCTTCTTCGAGATTTAATGGAGCAATTGGAGTTGAAACAGGGCTTCTTCTCTGAACCCTACGTTTCCTGGGAAAAAATTGAAGAAATATATGAATCAAGAATCGGGTAAAGAAAGGGAGAAGGAAAATTTTGGGATTATTAGTTTACCTCCTCGAAATGGAGCATGGCGTGGTGTTGAATATCGAATCGGAGCGAGGCTTGTGCTTAGATCGTTGCCGATCTGGGGTGTCTTCGGCGATGAGAGTGGCGGTGACGAGGGCTTCCTCGTCCCATCCAGCCGTGGCTGCCACGGATTTGAATCTGGGGCTGAACAAGTCGTCGACATTTTGGCTGTTTTCGGCGCTGCTTGGCTGCTGAGAATCTTCTAGGGATTTTCTCGCCATTCTCTTTTCTTGGTGAGAAAAAAAGAAAGAAAGGGGAAAGGAAGACGCTTCTTTTATGGAGATCATACGGTTCTCTAACGGTCGAGGTTTTTGAATTTGGTTTAAGCAATTGACTGCTGCAACGGCTATGTTTCTTAAATTAAACAAGGAAAATATAAAAGATTTTGGGTTAATTGCGTAGTCATACTAAACTTAAAAAGATTAGGGTAAAACACACAAATAGTCCCCAACTATTAAAAATTACAAAATAATCTCCAGTATAAGACACCTTTTTTTTATGTCTCCCGATTATTAAATGTTATAAAATTGACTACAATATAAGTTAAAACGTTAACCTACTTACTGAGTTATGATAAGGACTGATATTTGAATCTCAAATTATAGAGCTCAAATGATTTTAAGATAAAACTTTATCAATCTCAATCAATAGATTAACGTCCAACTCATAAGACCATTAAAAATTATAAATAACATTTTATAACTTTTAATGATGAAAAGACTCGACAAATAGTAAGAGAATTCAACAAAACAAACACCGACACCTATAATCGGAGACTATAGGTTAAACTTAAATTATCATATTATCGATATATTATCAATAAGGTCCATAAAAAGATTAAAACTTGAACCATGACCCGGTGACATTAACCCCAAAATTTTCCCTAATATGTATTGTGGAGAAGATGCAATTTCTACATAAATTTTGTATCATTAAGAAGAAAAAACATATAGTTTATTACAATAATCTTGTTATTTCATTATCTACAGTTTGCCATGGCAGAAGGGAATTTTTTGGGTCAGCAAAGTTGTGTAACACCATATCTTTTAGGCCGGTGTCGGTGACCTCGCAAAACCGACTCGACCAATCATTCGGTTCGACCGGTTTAGTCCCTAGCCCGGGGGCTCGATCTTTGGACCCTACATTGTGATCATCTTTCCAATCAGCCACATATGTAGCCACCCTCCTATAGAATTTCTCCTTGAACACTTCCCACACTTGGTATTTGTAGTGGTTTACTACTAGCATTTTTCTATCAACATCTATGAACCTAAATCGATCTCTCAGATGAAAGTGATGTACAATGTTGATCAATGTCGAATTCAGTGCTTCGGGTCTGATTATACTCTTGTGTCTCTCAGGGAACATAATCCGACACGTGTATCCGACCGTCACACCTTGTTGTGGCATCTGTTTGAGTCCCGACGGCCCGAAACTGTGACATGAGACACGGATTTCACCGATCGGAATGTTCTTGGATCGAGTTTCGAAACTCGTTAGATTTTGGATCACGTCGTGTAAGAGTAACCCTGACGGCAAGTGAAAGAATTCATCTACGTCGATGAACCCAACCCATTCGCAGGAATCCCTAGATTGCAATGCGCAATGAGAGAACCCTCCTTCTTGGGTCTTAACCCACGGCCAGATGTGCCTCGAGATGTTGTAACCGGCGTCGAACAACGATTCTATCAATTTATCGGTATCGTCGTCACTGTTGTTATCGTAAATGTACCAACGTTGGACCCCGATCTCGGCATGGTACATGACCCATTCCTTCAAAAACCTCGCCTGGTTACGTGCCATGGTGCAGACGCACATTTCATGTGGTTTCCGGGTCGGTACCAGGTAATGCCCGGAATCCGATAAGAACCCTAGTCGGGCTACGGAAGGTAATATTCCTCTGCCCTTGATCCTAACCGAAACTCTAACTGAGCCGTTGACTTTTTGTTGACTGATCAAAACACTTAACGGCGTTCTACACCGCACGATCTCTTGAGCAATTGATAAAACCTCCGATCTCACCAATAGTTTGGACCAGCTCAAATCCCAGCCGTACACGCACTCAAATCTCGATGCATTGGAAACTCTGTCCGGCCGTAGATTAATCCCCTTGACGAAAACCACCGTCGTGTTATCGTTATCGACCAAAGCTTCGTACGCCAGTGAGTTCCACCGGTGAGTGGGACCAGGTGGGAGGACCCCACTCGGCTCCGAACCAACCGTTACAATCAGTCCACGTGGACCAGTAGGACACCGCACGATCTGCTCACCCAGCCGCTCGGCTTCGACACGCGCCGGGGACAGCTTAAGCCGAGCCTCGGATGAGGTTGTACTGTTACGAGCCGGGAGGTAAACGCAGTCGAGTTCCTCTTTAGTAAATAAACGAGCATACCGAGGGTAGTTCAGGAAAAGCACAACCTGATCGGGGAGCAAAACGGTTTCGCGAATCGAGAGTACCTCTGTTACCGGAAAATCGTCGGAAACGGCGGCGTTTACAGTCGAAGCTTTGCGGGCGAAGCTCAACACAGGCTGGAACTTCTCTGCTTTAAAAATAAATAAATAAATATTGAAACAATATTAAACAATAAAATAATAATAAAAACTGTACAGATGAATTAAAAAAAAAAGATTAAATTACCTCCAAAAAGAAAGCGAAAAGAGGAGAAGGAGAAGCCACTGAAAAGAACGAAGAAGGAGACGGCGAAGGCGGTGAACCAGAAAAATCTGTGCAAGGAAACGACGTAGTTTCTCCGACGGAACCTCATCGATTTCCGTTCTCATTCATCTGAGTCGTCGGGTGGAAGTTCGGAAGGGGTTTTAAACCCAAAAACACAGAATTTGTCGTTTGGATTTTCTTCTCGGTGCTCAAGAACTGAAAGGAAATTGGGAAAAGAGAGATCATTTAGGGACGATAACGAAAGGCTGCTAATCATAATCAAAATCAAAATGCTATGACCGTTCGTGTCGGTTTAAATTCGGTCGTTACTTTTTCACTCCGTTTCTTTGGTGATGATCCTCTGTGTTTCCAGATGCGTCTTTTGATTTTACCTCACCGCCTTAGCTCAATCAGATTCTGCCATTTTATCATGGTAAAATTCTACTCACCTCGTTTTAGGGAAAACAAGTAGGGTTGAGCATCGAAACTGAGAAAATCGATTTAAATTTAATTATTCGGCTTGGTTTGGTTTGGTTTGATTTGGGTTTTTCAATTTGAGATTCGGTTCAAAAAATAAATATCAAATTCAGTTCAATTTTAGTTTTTTCATATAGAAACTGTTTGAATCGAATTAAACTAAATTAAAAAAATACATTCATTTTGAATTTATTATAGGATAAATTTAAATAAATAAACTATTAAAACTAATAATATTAATTTTATAAATTTAAATTTATATATTTACACTCGATTTTAGCTTTAAATTTTTTTTAGGTTAAGTTTGAAAAATAGTGAACAGTCAAAAAATCGACGAACCGGATCGAAAATCGTGATTTTTATAAAATTAGGTTTCAGTTTCGATTCTCATTTTCAAAACTCGACAAGGAACGTTCGGTTCATATTTTACTGAAAAATTAAACCAAACCGAAAGCACCCCTAAAAATAATAAATATAATATATAAATTATCAGTTTTTATCTATTATAATACTTAAAATTTCAACTTTTTTAAAAGATTCATGATATAATTATAATAAAGAAATTCTATTTTCATGTTTTTAAATAATCTATGGAACTACGAATAGACTTCATCTACACCGTTAAGCAAGAGCCACGTGGATATCATTGGAAAGCTTAGAATACTGCGCGACGCAGCAGATTTGCTACGTTTCGTGTTCATTTGTGCAATCTCCGCATGATTGGGCCTGGGACCCACTTTTCTTGAGGTGGGACCTATGATCTCAGAACTTGCCACGTTACCCAGACTTATGGGTGACACTTTTGAGCCATTAAAAGCTTCTTAAATATTTCTGGGGTAAACTACATTTGAAATCACTCAATTATGAAGATACTTCAATATTACCACCGATCTTTTAATTTTTTTAATAAGATCATTTAACTATTTAAATTATATTAATCAAGCCAAATATCATTACATTTGAAGAAAAAGCTGACATGATGGTTAAAAAAATTAGTATAATTATATATTTAGTTTTATTATTTATATATTCTATTAATTTAATCTTAATTTTAATTTATTCGATAAATTTAATATTTTAATTTGATGATTTCATTACTCATTAGAATTCTATAATATTTAAAAATAAGTTAAGATTAAATAAATTTTAAATAAATGAGTTTTTATGATATTCTGATTTTCCCATACTTTTATAATTTCATTTAAAATTTCCGCATGACATTTTCTTAACTAAAAACATTAAAAATTAATAATATTAACAGAATTGATTTAAAAGAAGGGTAAATTACACGTTTAGTATCAAAACTATCAATTTTGGTCCGTTTTAGTACATAAACTTTCATTTCTTTCAAAATCATACCTAAATTTTAGTTTTTGTTTCAATTTAGTACCCCTGTTCAAAAGTTAACTTTAATTTGTGAAAAAAATTAAAATTTTAGGTACTAAAATAGACCAAAATTGTTAGTTTATGTACTAAATACGTAGTTTATCTTGAAAATAATAAAAATTTATAAATACACAAATTTTAATTTATGTATTGTGTGTGTGATTTATTGTTTTATAATATATAATTAACATTAAGAGGACTAAGTGGCCTTTGGATTAGTGTTATATATACAAATATTATTATATGTGACTTATTCAAAATCATATCTAACAAATGATTATTCATATATACACAAAACATTTAAATCATAATGTTAGGATATATTATGTACCAGAATGATATTAATTAATAGTGTCAAAATCAATGATAAATGAGTGCAAGCAACTATTAATTAATATCATTTTGGTACATAATGTCATTTTAAGATAAAATCTTGAAAAAATCCAAATCCAACAGACCCGACGTAAAATAAATATATTTATAAAAATATTATTTTTATTCAATAAAAATAAGAATCTAATTAAAAAATAATACATAGATTGTTATTATTACAATTATCTCTAACTATATAAGGTAAATTTATATTATATTTCCGGTAGGGTCGGATCCAATATTTTTCATCATAAACCCAATTTGACCTAAACATATTTTTAAAAACCCGACCTAATATGATATGAACTTAATAGTGAGTCTTTTTTTATTTAAATAAAGAGTTGCTAACTTTGTAGAATTATAATTAGGATGAACATAAGTCAAGTCGGGTTGGATCAGATTTTTGTTTAACTCGGCATGAAAATATATATCATTCACTTGAAATCCGATTTGACCCGAATTTAAGGGTGACTTCACCGGATCCGAACCTGACCCGACTTTTTAAGCTAAAATCCAAATTCGAAAGACTCGACCTGAAATAAATATATTTATAATAATATTATTTTTATTTAATAAAAATAGGAATCTAATTAAAAAAATAATATATAGATTGTTATTATTACAATTATCCCTAACTATATAAGGTAAATTTCTATTATTTTTCCGATCGGGACGGATCAAATATTTTTCATCATAAACCCAATTCGACCTAAACATATTTTTAAAAACCCGACCTAATATGATATGAACTTAATAGTGAGTATTTTTTTATTTAAATAAAGAGTTGCTAACTTTGTAGAATTATAATTAGGATGAACATAAGTCAAGTCGGGTTGGATCAGATTTTTGTTTAACTCGGCATGAAAATATATATCATTCACTTGAAATCCGATTTGACCCGAATTTAAGGGTGACTTCACCGGATCCGAACCTGACCCGACTTTTTAAGCTAAAATCCAAATTCGAAATACTCGACCTGAAATAAATATATTTATAATAATATTATTTTTATTTAATAAAAATAGGAATCTAATTAAAAAAATAATATATAGATTGTTATTATTACAATTATCCCTAACTATATAAGGTAAATTTATATTATTTTTCCGGTCGGGACGGATCAAATATTTTTCATCATAAACCCAATTCGACCTAAACATATTTTTAAAAACCCGACCTAATATGATATGAACTTAATAGTGAGTATTTTTTTTATTTAAATAAAGAGTTGCTAACTTTGTAGAATTATAATTAGGGATGAACATGAGTCAAGTCAGGTTGGATCAGATTTTTGTTTAACCCGGCATGAAAATATATATCATTCACTTGAAATCCGATTTGACCTGAATTTAAGGGTGACTTCACCGGATTCGACCCGACTTTTTAAGATAAAATCAAAATCCGAAAGACCCGACCTAAAATAATATATTTATAAAAATATTATTTTTCTTCAATAAGAATAGGAATCTAATTAAAAAAATAATACATAGATTGTTATTATTACAATTATCTCTAACTATATAAGATAAATTTATATTATTTTTCCGACCGGGTCGGATCGAATATTTTTCATCATAAACCCGATTCGACTCAAACATATTTTTAAAAACCCAACCTAATCTGATCCGAACTTAATTTTTTTAAAAAAAATTGATCCGATCAAATCGGATCAAATCGAACCAGTCAAATTTGGGTTTTGTGCCACCCCTAATTATAATAGGGACCAATTAATATAACTTTTGATTAACATAGTCTTTTAGCTTGGAAAAGCAAAATTGTTGAGAAAGAGTTTGTTTTTTTATGAAATAATGACTAGTGGAGGCTGAAAACGAAAGGTGACAAATAATGAAGAAGATGCTAATTAAATTATAATAGGCAATGGGTTCAAGTAGCTAAGAGATATGACTAAGTGCACCAATGGCAATATTTTCAAGAATAATCTTATTATAATCATTTCGTCACACTAATTAATTAATAGCCACTTATTTTTGCCAGAAAGGATGCAATTGGGCAATTAGTCATTCATGATAATCATTATCAACAAGGACCCTTAAGCTTATTTTTTTTATAAGAAATAAAATAGAAAAGTTTTGAAAAAAATATATATAATTGTTATTCCTAGAGGTATTGAGTTCGAGCATCAGTACTTGTAGTAGGATATTTAAAATATGTACTACTTTGTAATCATCGTAGTTTAATAAAAAAACCAAGCTCCCATATTTTTAAAAAATCATAGGTACAGGGTCGTGGCTGGGGCGGCGCAAACTGCGCAACCGCGCAAGGCCCCCAAAAAATGCCCCAAAAAAGTATATATATAGTGGCGTTTTTCCAATAAACGTCACTATAGATGGACCCATTGCGACATTTTTAAAAAAACACCACTATTATTGCGGCTTTATTGATAAAACGCCATTATAGATGGATCTATCGTGGCGCTTGTCAAAAAACGCCACTATTGTTACCCCGAAATCGAATATATCTAGAAAATAGGGGCTCCTTTATAAGAATTTGTACAGGGCCCCCGAAAATCCTGCCACGACCCTGCATAGGTATAATAGTAAAAATAATTTTAATGTTTGACTAGGTAGTTATTTTGATTTTCATTTAATTATTTTAATTTTTAATGTTTGATTTTAGGGTTAAATGATCCTTAATATTTGTTTAAATAATCATTTTAATCCATATTTTCTCATAACGTTTTATTTTAGTGTAAAAAACTCGCACGAACCAAACAACTTTGGTGGTAAATGAATTATTGTTATTTTTTGAGGTTCCAAGTTAGAGCACTGGGAATGTCAGGGTTGTGAGAGTTCAATATCAAATGGTTGAGAGTTATCTTTGAACGAATATTGTCTTGTACTTACCCTATATTAATAAAAAAAATGGTAAAAGAACTCCTCTAATATTTGTCTAAATAGTCACTTAGCCCTTATTTCTTTTTAGGAATCATTTTGACCCAAACATTTCATTTTAGGATAAACGACATCCATTTTAGAACGTTGTCCGCTTATTAACTAATGATTTTCATCAACAGACGGAC